GCGTCAATGACTTCAGAAAACTAAAGGAACCGATCAACAATGCCGCTGGAATGTTGGTTTGTCCCGTTAGAATACAATTGGACGAATCGGCGACAGGTCGTGTTTTTGCGAGCTTTTTTCCACCAATCTTCCAGGGTCGCTCACGCGACCATTGCAAAGGGTAGGCCACTCCGTGGCCGCACTCCTCGAAAAAAGAGAGAAAAAGAAGAACTGGTAAAACAGCGCGTTTTCTATTTGTTTGGGTAACATTTTTGGATTAATTTCAACGGGACCTAATCTAACGGTATTGTGAATGGATTATATTAGTCATAGGTGATTAATTTGGGTCACACACAGGCCTGTAAAGTCTAACTGGCCCGGTGACTCATCACGCAGAGAGCTATCAGGGGCGAACTTATACTATTCTAGCTTACCGGGCCTATGAGGCTCATACTAACGATGAATAATTGTATTTTTCTTATCTCAGAAGATGATCGCTCGAAGCACGGAGTACACGGTTCAGTTCCTGGTACATAGTTTACAATATTGGAGATTGTGCAAGGTTGTTTTCTGAGCACAGAAAAAACGCGTAAACATGTGTGGGATTTTCTAAACATCGGTCCACCTTTCAAAAAGTGATGTTACCCCCGAGAACAAGTTGAAAAGAGCATTGTTTAATAGTGTTGCATAAGGCAAGTTTGATCAGCGACAATTTGTTAACCACCAGTCGATTTGCCTGGTACTCGGTATGTATTTCATGCGTAGGTTACCAGTCAAAATGACCAACAGTGGTTGACAATTTGTCGCTGATCGAGCTTGTTCATAGAGAAAGAATTTCAGACAAACGTTTGGGGAAATCTATCTCCCGATAACAACTTCCACTCGCTGCATTAATTCAGTTCGGTGTTTTCAACGCCGTGGAAATTGGGAATCGAAGCGTTTAGTCTCTCTCTCAGTTCAAGAGAGAGTGTCACGGGCTGTCGAAATGCAAATGATTTGGAGGTGGAACCGTCTGGAGGGGCGGCTTTGTGAATTGCGCGTGTCGAGTTTAGTTTCTGGAGGGGTCTTAGTCGCGCCTCGAGAGGAGACTGACTTGATGAAGAGGTCTGGATTGGCTAGATAAAAAGACCATTTGGCGTCGTGACCGCTGACAGTCATTGATGTGGTTGAGAAATCTTTGCTGGACGTAAATACAGGCATTTGCATGTATTTTCAGAGCACTTTTGCTTGGGAAATGTATGGAATAAAACGACCATTTAGGTTTGTTCTCGTTTTGCCAGAAATAACTTGTATTTGTTTCTTTGTAACAATTAGAAGTGTTTGAACTACATAATGCCATCAAGTTGCGTTTTTGATGGTTGACGTTTAGTTGGTGTATTTTTAATGTAAGCATGAAAAGACAAATTGCTGTTTACCGAAGTTTGAAAAATCGGTCAATGGGGTTGGGAGGTGATAAGCAATGGAGCAGTGGGGTTTAGGGTGAGGGTGGATTTTGACGAGGCGAATTTGACGACACCGAAAGCTATGCAGCGAAATTTCGCTCAAGTTGAAATGTGTTCAACTTCTACGAATTCGCCACGCGAATCATTTCTAGATCTAAGGTTGCTTTCAGACCAACAATGAAGCGACCTCTAGTCGCACTGCGAAGTTGATAAACTTTGGTTAGAATCATTAGAAAACTTCGCTACTCCTTTTATTTTTTTCAAGTTATCAATGTTTCATCCTGTCTTCTTCCTGACTTCTACACTCTTTACAAATTATTTGTCTTTGAAGCAAAACAGACAGGTGGGTATATATCTAAAGACCATTGAACTAATACCATATTTGTGTGTAGATATCTTGCCCCACGATGGTTTGTTTTGGAGTCTCGGGTTTCGGGCTCTTGTCTGGTCAACACCGATGCTTATTCCTTCATTGTCGCCATGGCTTTGTGAGTACCGGAGAAAAGTTGGCACCTCTGCGACATCTGCCCGGTCCTCTCCGGTCAATCGTAGAAAAACAATCGATGCTCAGAAGAGGATGCACTCCGGCGATGTCTGAAGACAAAATCAGAGATTATAGCAAAGGGGGGAAGCTCAAGTCCGCGGGGTTTTTTCCTTCTCCTCTCCTCTGCCTTTGCTCAGGGTTTTTTTTGTAAGTTCTACAGTCTGGACCGCGGCGTCTGTCTGGCTCGATGCTGAGCTACTTTACACCTGCCCTAGAACGGCTTCGGTGTAGACAGCGCGTTGATGCCCCGTAGTCTGGCTCCCCGCCCCCGACTCCATTCGCTCCGCGGAAACTACTTCTCTGCACTTGTTGTTATCATAACGATAAGCGGTCCTTTTCAGGAAAGAAGGGAAAAAAACGATGCCCCGGGCAAATTTTATTATGATATCCCGAGTATTGTGCGGTGGGCCTTTTTTCATAAATATGTATTTGGGCTATCTGTGACTTTGATCGAGTGTCGGCTGTTCAGATGGAAATTGACACGATCGGGTTTTTTTTTTTAAAGTTTGGCTTATCTTCGCAGACGTGCTAATACCGCGGCTGCTTACCCAGCGCCTGATCTTGTTAGATCCACCGAGTCATCCTTCTAATCAAATAATTTCCCTGCTCTCTTCCGTCGATGAAATATCGTCTGGCGGACTTAAAGTTATGCGTGTCTTTCTCTCGCAATTGCTTCACTCTTTCAGAAAAAAAATGATGAAGATGGGCGCGATTGTTGGATTGTTACTTCTTAATCGATTTGTTGTTCGTTTGTTTGTTTGCTTGTTTATTTGTTTGCATGCTTGCTTTTGGGCTTACAGACAAAAGAAGACAACATTGTATCATAAGTTTTTATCCGGTAATGCTCTGAAAAAGCAAAAACGAAGAGGAAAAAATCGCTTCAACTTTCGTGTCCTTTGCTCCAGTTTGTAACTAACCAATATTGACCATCATCACCAAATTAGGATTCGCTGCTCAGTGTGTTGAAAAAAATCATTTGTTAGTAACGCTGTGTTTTTCCTTTGAAAATCAGGATAATTCCGTTTTGAAGTAAAAGGTCAGCCGTTGATGTGGAGAATGACTCCCACGATAACAGTACAAATGTTGAATGAAATGTAACTGACGACATTGAAAGCGGCAATTGCAGATTTGAGGAGAAAATCGTAACTATTAAAGAGGGGACTTGAAAAAGCGAGGACGATATCCGTAATGTCTGGGCTATCCAACAATTTGAGGAATTGTGGAAAAGTTGTTCAGAGCAAATCCTATTATGTTTTTTTAATTTCATTTCCATCTTGCAAGGTACTAAGAATTCGGTTTTCTTAACATCACATCTTAGCTCTGAATGTCTGGGCAGAGCCAATGTCTGTCAAGGATCTCCCAATCTCATCAGATCACCACGATTCTGTAATTAAACGCGACCGGAAAATCGCCGCTTCACGCCGTCTGCGGCCCCCACGGCTGAACGATCGAGGCGTCAGTTGCGCAAAGCCGTCTCGATCCCGCGTTTCATGTGAACTAAAAAAAAAATAATTGCCGACGCTGCTGTCTCTGCGTTCACGCAGCGCTACATGAACGCCCCGTCTCTCTAATCCTGTCGATTTTATTTTGTGCCCGTGTGTGTGTTTTTGGTAAGTAGCCGAACCGTCTCACTTTCACAGTTGGTCTTTTTCTATCGGTTGGTGCAAGGCCCGCGGGCGAGCGGGCCCCTTTCGTTCTGCCGCGGGCTTGGCATTGGCTCACCGATATATGTTTTTTTCTGCAGCCGGGCTCGTTGGGTTTAGGGTTAATTGAATCACGACTAAGCAATAAGTAGGCGCCTCTTAACCGCGTATTAGCGGCTGCTACCATGCTGTCAAGGTTACTCCAGGCCAACCTGTCATTTCCAGTCTGGGCTCGGTGTTTTTCCTCCATGTAAAAGTGGCCATCCTTAACTTCCACAAAGTCACCTTTAAACTATTGTGTTTTCAAGTGTCCTTCCTCGTAAGCGTGATTGTTGTTTTTACTTGTAATTGTTAATTTAGCAGCTGTGTCTGGGTTTTGTTTTAACATAGATCTTTCTTTTAAACAAGATTTTTTAAGTGGACTCAAAAGTTTAGAAAACTTGCCAATTGGACATCAAGAATTACTTAAAATATCTGCCTCTTCTTAAGTCTTGAGTGTAATTTATATATATTTTTTTACAGCTTATGAGTTGTAGGGAGCTACAAATTATGACGAGATGCAATTGAGATCAGAAGCAAATTGAACGTGTTCTTGGACAAAGGAATCGATTCGGGCTCTTCCCGACTAGATGGTGATGATTTGGAAAAAATGACCGAAAGGAGAGCGATACAGCACTCATATCGATTAGCCACCCTTTAAAGTATAGTCGGTTGTGTTTTTCCTTTTTCCACATCACACCCAGCGGAAAAAAACACTTGGCAAGTGCCGCCCCGCCGCTAATGGGGGAAAATCGTCGGGGGGCGACCTCTGGTCCGCTCCCTCGCCTGCAGTGCCTCGGCTGGCGGGGGTCTGGTTTGTGTCTCGGCCCGGCGCACTTGGCTTCTTTCCTCTTGAGCTGCCTCGTTAACCCTGGCCAAGTCAACAGCTCAGTTTCACTTCGGCATTGCGAACGACCAGGTTTACAGGAGAAGAAGAGGTGGAACATCGGGCAGAGGGAACAAAATCTGAAATGATATTTTACCGGCGGGTCGTGCTTCAGCCAGAGCTTTGTTTACGGATGTATTATACGATCATTGCCCCAATAAATAGGAAGTGTTCCCGTTTCGAGCAGACATTGATAGCGCTGAGGCGGCGTGTGGTTTGCCGACTGGATTGAGTCATTGTGGCTTGCTGTAGCATGTATTTTTTCCTCTCGCGTGAAAAAAGTAAACAGTAAGAACAGAGCTAACTCCAGGCTCTGAAAACTTTTTTCAGGCACGGGACGGGCCCTGTGGCGGTGAAGAAATTCACCGAAGCGCCGAAAGTGCTAGAGAAGGGGGGAGAAGATCTTGGTTGAGACAGTCGGCTCCGCGGAGCCGTCTGATTGGACAAAAGGTGTTATCGGATCACGTGATCGGCAGGCGGGCTACAGCAGCGGCAGGTGCTGCCCCGCGTCGGTTGATTGAGCTATATAGAGATGGGGAGGGAAAAAAAGAAGCAAGTCGAGAGTGAGAGCCCTTAATCGGGAACAATCACAAGTACTTAGCCAGAAGAAGAGTTCGCTCCGCCCACCCGAGCGAGTTAGCCGAGGAAGGAGGAGGGCGAAGTTCTGAACAGCATCATGGCCTAAATACGTCAAGGTGTCTGTGGATGTGTATACGGCGGGGTGTTTGCACACTGGAATGTCTGGTCGGAGCTGCCCGTGCAAGGATGTAGCCCCGGGTGTCGACTACCTCTTATCCCCCCTTCAGGGCCCAACCAGCCTATTTTGCAATTCAGCCCTTGTCACCACTGGTAGATTGTCTGGGTTGTTTCCAAAAGCAATAAAAGTTTCGCACCACGGCAAGTCCCCCCGTCTTTCGGCTGGCTCCGGTTGTCTTCATCGTCGGCAGGCTCGGTTGCTTCTTCCACACAGCTCGGTGGGTTCTTTTCCAAACCAGTCTCTCCGTCGTTGTCGTCGTCAGGAATCTTCCTGTGGACTTCGCCATTCTCGTCACCGCTCGTGGTCCGGATTCAGTGCCCTGGTCTTCCCACGCGGGCAGCCCCACCGGCCCGACATCGGCTTGCTTGGTACACTCCGGGATCACGGCCCGTCCAGCCCCTCGCGCCGCGTCCACATCAGCCGTAATTGAATAGGACATCCTTGGCGACGAGTGATCCTACTTCCTGGCGCGGCCGGCCACCACCAGGCCCCTCCCCAGCCAAGTTCCCCCAACATGAGACCTGTTTATTTGATTCTTCAGCTTTGTTTATTGCAATGTGTTCCGCCGATACTTAGCGACAAGACAGGTAAGTCATTAGCCGCCTTTGACACTTTACGGCCATCAATTACACCGGGAGTAGCCATGGCAACGCATTTCAGGTGCAACTCGCTTGCTTTTGTGGAGTCCGCCATTCCAAATGCTTTGCTACGCTGAACTAAGTATTTCCATGACAGTATTGACTAAGAGTTGGCTGTGAGCGAAATTGATTCCGTATCTGTTACTGGAACATGAGCACCCTAATTCCTATCGGTGACGCACTGTAATCCTTTGAAATCATTATCACTAAACCAGTCGTTTTTTTCATTCACGTATTGCGCGTCTATTTTAAAACCTGTTCACTTCACAGATAGGTACGCTGTGCTGTGCCTACGATCAAAATCGTCATTGGTCGACTTTTACATCTGTCGACACTTTCTTGTTTTCTCCACTGTCAATTGGTATGAAGTTGTCTCGTGAATATACTAGTAATGTAACATATGTTGGCACCATAAATACAACTATCATTTGATGGACTTAATTCGACTCGAACTGTTTACTCAATCGTAATATGATTGGCGTGGTTTATATGGATTTATTTTCTAGGAAATTAAGAACAAGTGGTGTTTTTTTATTTGCTTGTGTTGAAGGTTTGTTTAGTTTCTTTATTTTTTGTGTTTTTTTTCCCGGTTCTTTTGTTTTTTTTCCCCCACAACGTTGTGGTCTTCGTTTGTGCTGTCTTTGAGAGGTAACAGCAACCCATCTTTGGGGACCAACCAAAGTCCATTATTCCGCAAGAAAGGCAGTTTCGATGAGCGGGAACGACACCCGGCATTCCATCGCGTCATGTTTGTCGGATTTGCCGTTCGCACGTTCATCTTTTCCCCCCGAGTCTCGTTCAGTCGTGCCTTCTGATAGGTGCTGTCTTCATCATTAAAGGAACGCACGGGCTCTTATCGACCAGTCAATGGACGATTCAATACCTAAGTGGTCGTGCCCCTTTAAGCCCTCTATTCACTTTAAGAACCAGCACTTCTGTGTCGACTCGAAGGGTATTTTCCAAAACCCAGCTTTGTGTCCGTCTCAACCTTCGTCTCTGAGACGGTTACCCGTTTGGGAGCTAACGGGTGTTCAAGTTTAATGGAAAAACTTTAATATTTGCGTCGCTGTCTTGTAGCTCGACATTTGTTGGCAGCTTTTTGACCTTTTACTGAGGTAACAACTTTCAAGTCATGGGGTTAAAATCAAGCAAAGCTAAGGATGGAGAATTTCGCTCACAAAAAAGCTCATAAAAAAAACTACTGATAAATCAAGGCTCGCTCGAAATCTGAAGTCAGAGGTCAATGTTTACACGGTTTCCATGGTGATACAAATATTTTGTGACAAGGTGGTTTTGAATATACATGTAGAGTCATAATCATTTGTCGAAAGTGTCGACAACAGCCATCTTTAGGCATTTTCTTTGTAAAGATTTGGGGGCGTTGAGTGTACAGGCTCGAAAATAATACCACCAAGTAGGGGGCCTAATAAGTTTAACGGAGGCTTATACGTCGTTCCCAAGCACCCCCCCCAAGATAACATGGAATTCTTTGTTTTGGTAAATCGTCTTCGAAATACATCGCACTCACACCTGCTCTCACCTTTAGGTTCAGGCTGAAATAGTTATGGATAAAGGAAATAAGCCAATGTATTGCTAAATGCCATCGAGGCGCGGGCAAAAACTTCTCAGACAAGCCACCGGTTTATATATTCGCTAACGTATAGCCGCGATAGAATTAATAATTGGTCGATCACCGGTCGTGGGCGTATGACATAGCTCCGGGCGCTATACGCTTATATCACATGGGAGAATATAATGGGATTAAGTCTATTATGGGAAATATTCCAATGGGGAACGCAACGTGCAGGTGATGGATAAATGTGATTGAACTGTCACAATGCAGAAGACAATAACCCAGAGCTACACGTTTGATATTAAAACGCTGCAGATGTGCACAGGTGACGTAACAAAGTATGGAATGAGAGACTCGCATTGTATCCTGGGATACGCATCTGGCCACGGGTATGATAAAAAGGTTTCAATGTGTTATTGTATAAAGGTCTATAATACTGTACCATAACTGCATTTTACGCCAGATGCAAGTTCAGCATTATATTTTTTGCATGTTTCAGAGACCGAAATCTGTTTATAAAACTTGGGATGTGTCTCTGACTTCTCGTGAATTTGAATTCTACTTCAATGCACGAGCACTGCTGGGAATTCTTATGGCGTCGGGTTGATTTGGAGCATAACGATGTAATAACAACATTGACCACTCGTAAAATAAATTGATTACGATAGTTATCGACCATTTGCAAAAGTAATTCTTGTTTGTGTGAAAATTTTCTCACTTCATTTTTGCAGTCCACGTTCCGATTAGTATCTTCTGGTTGCCTTGGAAAACTAGAGTGCCTGTATTTTAATCCACTTACCTAGAACCTTCTTGGCAATAAAATATCATTATGAAAAGAAACAACTGTAGCTGATAGAGTCCATGGGGACAAATATAAACTTAGGTCCACCCAGTCGTTGGTTAACTCAAGGGATGAGATTTTGCAGGATTTGTCCCAATTCAGGATTTGTGTCATCACGATTTTCCTGATTTGGTGTTTTTTCAAGCGATCTATTTTGAAATCGTGAAATTTCTGAGTTGACCTTTATAGTGTGTTTATGCATGACATTTGATATCGGACTTAAGAAGTGGATGTTTTAAAGAGCATCTCTAAGGAAAACATGTTTTCTCTGATTTTTTCTGTTAAAATAAATAGGGAAGCATCCAAAATCGAACGCAGTGTCATTTGTCTTCAGAGCTCAACTATAACAAGCTAAAAAGTTGTTTTTCTGTTCATGCCAAGATGCGAATTCTGAATGTAGATTGCGTCATTCGGAGAAAACAGAATGGACAAATCTCGCCCATGTCAAACAATGCATGTACGTGTAGCTATTGTTTGGCATGCACAAAGGTTTATCCCGTAAGAACACAGGGCGAGGGTCCCCTTCGTTTTCTGTGTTTTCTCCGAATGACGCAATCTACATTCAGAGTTCGCATCTTGGCATGAACAGACAAAAGCCCTGAAGACAGTAAATACTGCGTTCGATTTAGAGGTGCTCTTTAAGGGATGCCTTTAAGCAAACATACACTCTACACTGCTGTTGCCATGGTGACAACCTTTGGTGATGATTTCGTGGATATTTCATTTTGTTCCGATCTCACCCTGTAACTTACTGGCCATGGCCATGATCAGCACTTTTTGGAAGAAGAATTGTCCCAAAGCGTAGTATTTCATTATTGCGATCGACAATGACTTGTGTGCCAAATCCAAGTGAATTTGTCCTTCACTCAAAGAACAGTCACCTGCCCCGAGTTGAAGTGCACCCCCAAGCGGCAAAAGAAAGACAGGCGGTAGTCAGTTTTCCAAGCGGGTTCTCGCACGCAAGCTGCGTGTACGCAGAGACCATCAATTCGTTACGCGTATACTCGGCGTGCTCCGCGTCAAACGCGCCGTTGATCCCATGATAAACGCGCGCCTATGCGGCGAGTGCTAAAAAACACACCCTCTTCTGTTCCGCCCAAAGTTGATAACATTCCTCACTTTCGAGCTGAACAGAAAAAATCCGTGGTGGTAATTCTGTTGGCCTGTCAAGGGGAGGATCCGTTGTAGGAATCCGAGGTGACATCCTTTGTTACCTTTTCAGAGTGTTTCTGTGCAAGTATGTGCAATGTGTGTTTCACGCACCTGGGCGGGGTCTCTTGTCCCCCCCGCAAAAAAGTAGGGGGTCACATCTGATGAGTGGAACCCCCTTGCGGGAGTTCCATTCACAAGTCGCTGACGGTGTCGACTTGTTTCCCGGCTAGACAAACCATTTGGACGGAACACTATAGCCGACCGACGTGACCCCCGCCGGCCGGTGAAAATTGAATTATTTGCTAAGTGTTTTGATCCGTCTGTCTTAAGTAACTCGATTTGCACGCGCGCTGCTGGACACAAATTAATACATACTTAAGTCGAGCTTGCTTCCCATTTCACTGAGTAAAAAAGCAACTTATACCCCGTTTACAATGACTTTGGATGTGCTCGCTTAAATCTAGCAACAAGTGAAAAATATATGCCTACATGTTTTATCTGCAAAATCCTAAAACAGTAACTTTTAAACCGTCTTACATTGGAAAAAACCACCTGGGTGAAACTGACTCATTTAGACGCGCTCACATTTAGAATGTATCGAAAGTTTCAGACAAATCGAGTGAAGAGTTTTTCATTTACAGTTGTCAGCGTTTCGTGATATCTCGGTTCATGAATTCACATCCAGCGTTAGTGAAAAAAAGACATAAGGTTTACCAACAACCCCTCTGCATCAGAACGGTATTGTGTTCCGCGAGAACTACGTGCTCGTCTTTGAAAATTGAAGTCGCACGGGGCCCAAGCCATCAGTCCACAAAGTCGTTAGGGCTCGAGACATAAACAAAATTCTTGCCTGCGGTATTTTAGATTGGAGAGCCAAGATGTCCTGCGATCGAAATAATAAAAGCGTGCCCCATGCGGACAACGAGGCATACGCGCTGCAGGGAAATATGACATCGCGAAAAACCGTAAAAAAAACGAAGTCACTGGGGAAAAAAAAATCAGCGCGACATCGCTGTCTTCTGCGTTTCAACCTGCACAAGTTTGACGGGCACGCAATGGCTTTCCCGCAACTTCCGGGAAATGTGCCAACAGTGAAAAGCAAAACAAACACTTATCGTGAAGCCTGCTTTCACAATAGCCAAAGTTCTTTCGACGGCAAGCTTCATCATCGTCGTCGTCGTCATCATCATCATCCTGGGTTGGAAGACATCCCAGAATTTGTGGGGAAAGCTTTTAATGGGCCTCCACATTTCTGGCACGAGCCGCGATGTCAGTTGGCGACCTTCCAAACCCCGTACAGTCATCTGTAAACTTTCTAACTCTAGCCCCGACTAGGCCGAGCGGCCTGGCCCTAATAAGGTTGTCTTTCCATGTCAGATCTGGGCTTTGTATTGTTGAAAACAATTTCCGGCCATGACGCTCACATTCTGAAGTTACAGTTTGACTGCTCGTGCACACTCGACACTGGCTAGGAGACTGTAGTTTCAGATTCTACAATGTTAACAAATTATCAAAAGTAAGTTTTTGTGTCTATGGAAACCCAATACAAAAATAAAATCCCACCTCCATCTTCCCCCAAGTACGGAGCTTTTAAAGGGACACAGGTGACCCCCTCCAAAATTCCAAAAACTTCGTTCGCACGAAAACATCTTCCTTCGACTGAAAAGAATCTTCGTTCGAACGGAAAAAAAAACTTCGCTCGAACGAAGATTTTTTTCTCATCCAAGTCCCTTTAAAAGCTTTGTACCAAAGCCTTGACTTAAAGGTGTTTATTTGTTTTTTACGACTAATGCTACTTCTACAGAGGAAGATGAGTGTAATGATGGACGGCATACGTGTGAAGAGAACGCAGTCTGTACGCAGACCCGTCGCTCCTACAGGTGTGCATGCAAGAATGGATTCAACAGACAGGGCAGCTCATGTGTCGGTGAGTCGTTAGCCTGGTTTCCATATGGTCGTTTGTAACGCTGTCGGTCCGTAAGACGTCAAGACGCAGACAGTCGCGGAAGAGACGCGGTGCGACGTCATTCCACCCAAAAACATTAAACAAAATGGCGCGCGAATCTCTAACAATTTTCGCAAAAAAATCCTTTTTTAGGTGGCAATGGTACCTCTTGAAGCGAAACTGATACTCCAGTTTGATGTAGTTTGTTAATGGTCAGCTATTTTGTTGACGATTGGGGCTGCATGTGCTAGTAATAAGGAGAAAATGGACAAAATGAGTGGTGCTCAGCGAGAGAAACATCGCGGTCCGCCCATCATGCCAGCGTGCGTGTTTGTATAGGCCTACTCAGAGACTCAACGCAGACAGTCGACAAAGCTGAACCGAGCTCAACTTTGTCGATCTGTCTGGGGCTGGCTTGCGTTATCGACGACACTTCCGTTTGGCATGTTTCCATTTGTCTGCGTTGCAGTTTGCGTCTTGATTGTGTTGCTTTCTGCGTGCCCTAGATTAGGAAAAAAAATGAAATGTCTTGCCATGTATCGTAGGAATCGATGTGGAACAAAAAGGGGATAATCTTACAAAACTGGCATTTGAAAAATAAAGTGCAACTAGATACTGGAAATGTCACATTTTCTAAAGTGGCCCGCTGGTGAGTTTGTAGCCTCCTGTGGTGAATTCCACTCAGTGGCGAGGGGTGGTGGGAGAACCGATTTAAAAAAATACTTCATAGATAAGTAGGAAAGAAAGTAATCGGTATACTTATTTATCAAATATCAGCACCAAAACCCTTAAAAACAATGCCACGAAATAAAACCAAGGATGTCGAGATCGTAAGTAAATCTTTTGATATTTTACCTCCCCCGACATCACCTTGAACGAACCTGAAACCGCACTCGCCTCTGAATATGCCCCCCCCCTTACACGCACCAAAAGCTGCACAGCTGATGCCACTCTCTGCATATTTATCTTTGACTACTGTGAATTTTTAGATTATTTTGACTGGGATTTATTCAGTTTGATTACGAGATCTCGTGCACACGTCTACTCATTGCCTTCATTAATATTTGTACTTTCTTCAACAAATCAAAGATAATGGGCTTTCAAGGATTTGACAAAAGAAATGAAATTATGACAAAATGCAATTGGAAAATTCAAGTTCAGGGTTTTAACTCCAGAAGCACACCATGGATAAAACTAATCATACAAAGTGCTTCACAGCCTGGTTTGTTTTCAATCCATACGTTGAGAAGGCACAAATATGGTTATCAAACAAGCAATCAAGTAGAAAATACACATGAAGAAGTTACAACATTTTGCATAATTTATTATTTTTTGGGGCAACAGATGTGGACGAATGCGGCAGTAAAAATGGCGGCTGCGTGCACACGTGCACCAACGTGCCAGGGAGTTACAACTGCGGATGTTTACCGGGCTTCATACTTCACCCGGAGGGAAAAGACTGCATCGGTACGACGCCATTTTTTTTATCGCGTGAACTGAACATGCTGGATTCAGGAAAACCTAGGAAATGTGTTCCTTCTTGAAAAAGTCGCCAACTTTTGATCGAGATGGCCAAAACTATTCAGTCTCTCGTATGAGTCTTATTAGATAGGTTTGCTGTTCAGTTGAATTTCAAAGTCCAAGATAATTTGTTTTACTGCTAAAACCTGTAATGTTTGCTAACCTTTCCCGCGCCAAATTCAGACCTCAGGGATTAGGCTACCATGTTGTATAATACATTTTGGGCATGTGATAGTGTAGAAACTACACTGTGTTAACTCAACACCACAGTTGGAATTGTATACAATATTGCTGGAACTGTGTCTTTCGTGTTTTACATTTTTTGGCTAATATTTGGTGATTGGTTTTCAGACCAGGATGAGTGCGCATCGGGTCAACATGGCTGCCAGCACGAATGCATCAACACGATAGGTAGTTACCAGTGCACTTGCCCACGGAACTACTTTTTGAACGCAGATGGGGTGACGTGCTCAGGTAAATGAGATAAGCCCCCAGTGGCATAACTTGGGGGGGGGTTGACTGCAAGGGAAACGTGACCCCCTCCCTAGGGGATGCTCTTTCCCCCGCCCAATGCCATGCCCCCTCCCCCAATTTGACATCTGTGAATAATTTCAGCTTTTAGGAATTCTTCGTAAAATACAATTTGCTCATCTTCAGGAAACACTCATAAGAGAATACAATAAATCCACCGCCTCAATGTCTACTTTAGGCCTACTTTGTGGCACCTAGAAAGAAAATTGTTTTAGGGCCTAGTGCTTGCTTAAAGGTCATAGTTATGGGCAGATGAGCAGATTTCCATGGGGCTCAATCTTTTTCAAATGGGTGACCCAAAAATATGGCTCGCTATATTAAAAAAAAACTTGCCTCTTGTTGGGGGTGGGTACTGCCCATCCCCCCATCTGCCAATGTTTACAGTTTGGAAATTAAGCAATATTTTTGGATAATGGATTTCTTTTACATGATTGATTTCACATAAAACGCAGCAAAGATCTTGTTTGCATGCTTTCATAATTGCTAAAATTTGTAAAAGTGCACTGCTTTGTTTCTGTCTTTCTCTTTTTTTTCCAACTATAACCCTTGTTAAATTGTGTACCACTGTAACTTTTAGACTTTATTGATTACTAATCAGAATAAGTGTTACATTTTTAACGAGAGAAGTGAAGTTTTTTACCATGTTTTTGAAGACACGGTAGGAATCATTTTATCGACTTACCTTGCTCTTCTCTTTTGTAGATCACCCAGGCTGTGGGAATGCCAATCTTGGGTGTGGTCACTACTGTGTGGACATCGCTAATGACCACTCCATTTGCCAATGCCGGCCCGGCTTCATGCTCGCTGGTAACAAGAAGAATTGCATACGTAAGTAGATAAAGATGGAAAAAAAAGATGGTCCTGTGTTTTGTCTTCNAGGAGATGTGCGGGATATTTGTCAAAAATAGTCTGTTTTGCTTAAAAGAGATCCGCATTTCTCAAATTCGTAATGTGATGCGGTAAACAATCGAGTTGGCTTTCATTCACAAAATGGCCATTTTAGATTGTGTTCCCCAAATCCACTTTATTCATTGAACACTCCCATTTATTACTATAAATACAAGGATAACCTCACTTTGAAAACGGGTTATGAACATGCTCTTATTTTCAGATATGATGATTATTATTTATTTGGCATCAAGAACAATTACAAACAATACTACTCGCTAGTTGAAACAAGGACAACACCGTGCCTGCAATAGATGCTAGGAGAAGAAAAGGTCAATTGAATGACTGTAGCCCACAGGCCTTCTCCTCCAACCGTAGGCATCATATAAAGTCATATATACAGTATATATAATTATGCACACCAAGAGAAAACATTAATTAAAATGCTAACATTTACAGGTAGATACGTTCCATTTATGACTCCATGTTGTCTACAACATGAATCTAGGTTGTCTAGAATCCCAAATTAAACAATTTTGAAAACAAGGCAGTGTCCCGATCAATTGGAAGTTGATGTGCACCAAAATGACAAAGCTCACCACGTGAAGGGTTTTTCGCAGATCACATCACAATTATGAGAAAAGAGGCACTTTTTTGGGACTACTTCACTTCATTTCCTCTTGACCCTAACAGTCCTCAGTCCTCCAACAGGTGTTAGGTTGAAGTCATGTAAGAATATACCCAATTTAGCTTCACCCCTCCGAGAGGCCATGAAAGGTGAAAGGTTGTGTGAAGAAATTACCACTTTAAGAATTTGTTTTACAGAGTAATGTATCGATACAGTTTTAGAGAAAGCAACATATTGAAGAAGTAATTTGACAAATCAGACTTTACGACTGATGACTGACATTACATTCGCCAATAGTACACGTAGGTCTTTTGGGAACAAAGTGATATCTTCCTGCACATCCCAGAGATGTACATGGATATAATGGAGGTACAAATATTTTGCTGCCATAATCTGACATTTTTAGCTCTTTTTATTTTTGTTTTCTGCATTCTTTTTGACCTTGAAAAATCTAACAAACAGTTGCTGATTTTCAAGCCTCGAGAAGCATATTGTGCGGACTCTGTTTCAAGAAGTAAAAGAAATTATTTTCACTGGTAGAAAAATGGTGTTATCCAAATATGAATATATTTGAAATATTCTTGTACTTTTGCCTGTCTCAGTATTGTCGTAGTTTTGAATAGATTTTCATAAGAGAGTGTGTAGATGCAAAACAAGCTGGGAGTCTGTTTTATGAAACTGGGAAACCCAGCTTTCAGAGAACAGTTTAAATTCTTTCTAAATACAAATTTTCAGGTAGTCTCCAGGTCAGATTGACACTCCAGTCTTCCATTTGTGAACAAAGTAATTGGCTCTGTGTTTTTTTAGCATTGATTTTCTCAAAATGCGGAGGATATGTAAATCAGCCATCTGAACTGAATGCTGTTGATATATTTATCTCAGCAAAACTGCGTACTATGCTGTTGTTATAGGTCCAAAAAGTGTTATACATGGCTATATGCCAAACATTTCCTTGTCAAATGTCATTGTCATTGTAAATGCCATTTTCATTGTCGCCCACAGCAACCTGCTTGCACGGCAATGGCGAGTGCCAACATGTCTGTACCGACTCGCCCATCGGTCCCCTCTGCAGCTGCCATGAAAAGTACAACCTACACACGGACGGCAAAACCTGCGTAGGTAAGTCTACATGTGCTCAGAGACATGTTTCCAGTCTAGTGTCACCGTAGTTCCTTCGCAGTACGCCCTCTGTTGTTCTCAAAGCCAACGTGACAGGCAAGAAATAAACACCAAAGGGCACTTATGACAGATCCGCCATCATTTTGCCTGGACATTTTGACCAAAATGTTCCGCGTTAAAGACCATTTTTGGAATAAGATGGGAAGAATTAATTTCTGATGTGGAAAATCTGCTACGGTAATGTTGTCAATCATCCAGCCTGCCACATTCCCATTGAAATCAACAGAGGGCACTGGAAGACTAGCCAAGACTGTCATCCACAGCGTGTTCGGTAAGCTAGTGTTTGTGCACAGCTAAAAGCATTCCTGGGATAATATACTAAACGGACAGCCAGCACCATAACTGGTTATTGGTTTTCTAACACCTGTGTTAACTAGTTTCCTGTGGGAATGAACCCTCAAAAAACTCCCCCCCCCCAAAAAAAAAGTAACATCATTTTACTAATCTAGTTGCAGGGTGTGATTCCTGAGGATGATTTACACATTTTTTAAAGCTTAAACTTACAGATTTTCATTCAAAAACTCCAGATTTTTGTTACAGGTTTCTTTTACCAAGGTTTTGCTTCAACTTTGCAAAAAAAAAAAAAAAGTGCAAAATTCTCTTAACCGTACAGCCATTCATAGGTTTGACACTTTGTTGTAACCTTTTCCATCAAGTGAGGTTTATTTTTTTCTACATCTAAACTGACACCTTTGAATGATTTTCAGAGAAAGAGTGTAATTACAATTCTGGGTTGCTATCTCGAAAAGTCACAGGATGTTATATTATTGTTGTAACAATCCTGCGTAACAATCTTTAATTTCAAATCTTGCTCCTGTAGTAACATTTAACGATCTGTAATAACATAGCAGTCATTTTAATTTTGCACTCACGACAAAGTTAGCTTGACCAAAATGGACGCACTAACTGCAAAGCCTTGGCCTAACTGTCTGGCTACCCGCAGTCAACACTGATTGGAAAGTTTGCTATGCCTTAGGACAGGAAACACGCACATGAACTCAATGTTCTGGTTGTAATAACTATCACTTGCTCGCATTTTGTTTATACTTAATACTTTAAGGCATTTACGTTGACAAACGTCTGTCGGGAAAAAACCACGCACAATTCCTTTTTTCTCATTTTACAACAAGTAGTTTAGATCCACTAGGGAATTTATCATAGAAACTGCACGTAGATAATCAAATTTAGTTTTTCAGCAAAATATAGCGGTATTAGAGATGCACTTCTTTTGTTGTCAACGGCGATCTTAAAACCGTCAATTTTGTTTGCCTCTCACGTAACAAAATCCCACAAGGACTGTTCCAGAGTTTCCTTTGTGACTCCATTTCCTTTGGAAACTGAAAACTCGCCTAAATCCTGTTAAACTTTCTCTTCTTTTGAAGTAAAGTGTTTCCCTTCTAATTTTGATCCTTTGGTATGGAGAGGCGTACGAAGATACACATGACTCTTTCCCGTCAGGTAGTCTTTGCCATATTTTCTCCTGCTGTTTATAAATGTTCCGACGACCCTTCTCTTCATTTCTTGGTGTTATATCCTACTTCTAAGTCTACTGTCAACCATTTCTTGTCAACTGACTGTATGCATTTTTGTCTTGGAATTCGATTCTGACCTGTCATCTTCCTCCTACTCGTTTGTACGTCTTTTGGCCTCTCAGTGAACCTGTTTCATCTCTACACCTTAGTGGTGCCCCTCGTTATCCTAAGATCTTTGCCTCTCCTCAATGAAAACAGTGCCTCCTTTTGAAATTAACCTCCTTTGAGTGTATCAGTACACATTTTGGACACTCCGTTGTGATATTTCCATATTTGTTCGTTTCATACTGCCTGTGCTAATTTCCATTTCTTCGTTTTCTCGCTGTATCCATTTTTTGCATGCTTTCTTGTTTAATCGCATCTTTTTGCATGAATGAGTTGGATTTATGCATGCAAGCACACTTTGCCATCTCCCCTTTTTCAAGTAGCTTCTTCCATCGTTTGAAACATTTGTGCAAACTGATGACTCTATTGTTTTTTTAACTTAGTCCAGTTTAATGTACATATTTCAATCATTTTTCTCATGGTTTCCTGCTGTTTAGATGAATTTTAAAAAGCTGATAAACAGTGACAAGATGTAGCCCATGGTGCAAAATCCTAAAAGACGATTCAGTGCATGAATCATGGAATAAATGTTCAAAAATCTTTAAAATTATGATTAATGGGGTGGGGGTGTCTACTAGAAGGAGTGGATGAAGAAAGATGGTTAGAGTAGAACCTGGAGGATTAATCTTATGAATATTCATAGTGAAACGGTTCGGGGAAAATACGACGAATGTGTATCAGTCATAATAGGTGATGCTTTCTACCTAGAAACATGTGGCCTCAATAACGGTGGTTGCGATCGAGTTTGTTCAGATACGCCGACGGGAGTTCTCTGCAGTTGCCCTGACGGGTTTGAGCTCCAAGGAGATGGGCGAACGTGCAGAGGTCAGTGCACTGAATATTCATAAGTGGGAGGGGCCCTGAACTCCAAGTATAATGACGAAAATGTGGAAATCCGTCACTGAGCATCCATTTTTCTGAAAGTGAAATTACTGGTACAAACAGAAGAACCATGTTTTCATCAATGCCATCAAAAATAATTTGGAAAAAAAGTGAAAAAAATGGGCTGTTAAGGAGATTGCTCCAAGTATCTCAAATTAAAAGATGAAATCTTCTGTAAAAGTGAAAAACAAAACAAGACAACAAAACAAACAAGTAGACTACAGATTATTACAAATTAAGAGCTCATCTTTTAAAATTTGAGACACCTCATTGTCTCAAATCAGGTTTAAATCATTCAGCAATGCTTTGAGGCTGTGAGCTGATTCTTGAGTGAGAGAAATTTCTAGAAAAGATGGATTCCACATGATGGACTCAAAATCTCTCCCGGTCCAGCCTCTTCCCATGCAAAGTTTCATATCTTACTGATTGTCCAGGTCGATTGTTCAAATGAGGAGCTGTCTATGTTTAATCGTGATGGTGTCGAGAAACTTTTGAACAGACATTGTACTCAAAACGATGGCTGTCTTGTATATTTACAAACGAGAAAAATGTGCATTTTGGCGTGCTAAGACTCGAAAAAACAGCCTACTTTGAATTAATTCTAATCCTAATTAATTAACTCTAACTAACTCTAATTTAATTCTTTTGTGGTTTTTTGGGGGGTGCATTTTTCGCTGTCAGATATTGATGAGTGTTCGATGAACAACGGGGAGTGTGAATATCGTTGCACCAACACCATCGGGGATTTTGAGTGTAGCTGCCCAGGAGGTTACAAGCTCCTTCGAGATGGTCGGTCCTGTGTGGGTATGCTCACATCTCAATCTCTAAACCAACCAAGTCCTTAACCGCTTCAAATGGGATGTCATGTTAACGTGAGAGATTTTGTCTGTTGTAACGAGGACGTTTAAACACATCCGGGCAAATTCTGCATTTTCTGCTGCATTAATGTCCGTGCTTCTCCTCACACTTGAGTAATTCCCGTAGAGTCTGTTCACACTCACAGGCTCGAAGTGGAGGTTGAGTGTGTGAGTCACACTGTGACATTATCTCAGACATTTGAAAAAATCCCGTCTGTAACGATCCTTTTCACTTCAGACACTTCTCACATGGGCTATTACAAAGAATATCAAGTTGCCTGGACAACTTGAAAATACTTTTAAAGGTGTCTTGTCTCGCCAGATGTAGATGAGTGCTCCGTCAACACCACATGTGACCACACCTGCCTCAACTACCCCGGGGGTTTCCGCTGCTTGTGTGATGCAGGGTACCAGGCATATGGCATCACCCACTGTGGAGGTAAAACTATCAATAAATATACCAGTCTGATGTCAGTGACAGATTTTAGATCTACAAAGTAAGCATGTTGGGAAATCATGATTTTAATAGAGGGTTGATTTTTCTAGGTTGAGGATTTTGCCTTGAGCAGACAAGGAATCATAAACACTGTTTGACTTGGTTTTGCTAGAAGGCTTTTAAAAAAGTTCGCAAGCTTAATACCGGTACTCATCAGAAGCAACACACATGGTTGCTCCATAGTTGTTGGGACCAGGACTCGTCACTACACTGATTTTGTGGGGGCAAAGAAAAGGACAGTCACACGAAAAATTTAAAAAACTTCAGCTGAAAGGGTGTGTTTACAGTACAAGAAAAAGGAGTAGTGTCTCTGAGTTTTCTTGTAACTACTCAAAAACAAAGGAGTGGCCATACTGAGGCTGCATTTGAGTGGGCTACTCATGTTAACAGGAGTAAACTGAAGTAGATCTTGAAGGTTTGCATGGTGGAATATGATAAGGTAGAGAGTTTGCGGATACACCATCTGGAAAATATCTCTTTGAGTATGTGTGGTTCTGAAAAGAACCGGTTACTCGACATCCTTAGGAGTAAACTCATGAGTATGTGAATAGCAGGAGTACAATCTGCACGCTCAGTGAGGTCGGGAGTATAACTCTTGCATCACATGGTTATTTTATAATGCTCTCTAAATTCAAAAGAGTGAAAATTCGGCCTTTCTGAGTGAAAATTCACTCCCACAGTCGGAAACTAGGGACTAGATGTTTTAGAGTGAAATTTCCTCAATCGAAAAGATCCAGTTTTCACTCGAGCTCGGACTGAGGTGATCATTTTGTCAAAGTATTTCAATTCAAGTTGAGAGTGATTTTCACTCTAAATCGTCTTGTCCCTAGTTTCACTCTTTCAGATTTAGAGAGTGATAGAAATGTATAACCGTGCACCATTTGCACGGTGTGACCCGGATGCAGTATTTCCTGCACCAAGTAGCGAGAGCAGCATACACGAACAAAGCCCATGCATCTGATGCTGCATTGTTACTACCGCCGTCATGACGGCGGTGGTAACCATGCTTGCCACAATGATTTTGATAGCTGAATCAATCATGAAGACCATAAATGATACGTACATCGGTGACCACTTTCTTGTCCCCTTGCAACGACAGACATCGACGAGTGTTCCATCGACGCCGGCGGCTGCCAGCACATGTGCACAAACCTACCGGGGTCCTACGAGTGCGAATGCCAGGCTGGCTACCGGCTACACCACAACAAGAAAGACTGCATTGGTGAGACAGGGATTCATACTTGCAAATTTTAAACATTGAGCTCCATTTCTCATGTGTCCCTGTTTTATGCAAAAGCGGCCATGCGGGCCAGAAGTAGCCAATGAAGTCATATTATACGGCGACACAAAACTGCCTTTAACTTTGCCAGCGTTAACTCTAACCCTCCTCAATCCTTCACCTGTTGGAGGATTGAGGAGTGTTAGGGTTAAAACCTGTTTCTGAAGCGTGTTCCGGAGTAGATGTCTTTTGGCTGAGAATAAAGTTGAACTTGTTCAGTTCTTTTCGTTCAAACTTGAAGCTGGCTTGGCATGTTGAGTATAAATAGGAAATAAGGTAAACAGTGCTCCTCATCAGTAGCGTATCCAGCGTTTGATGCCGATGAGATTCGGGTTTTACTCCTCGGAATCAGTGGTGTAGCTAGGATTTCACGAGTAGGGGGCCACAAAGGGGGCACCAGCGTCTGGGGGGGGGGCACCAGCTTTCAGTGGTGTAGTTTTTTGGGGCAAGTTTTGTGAGCCTTGTTCAATATCCATTCATCCTTTTTTTCAGTGGGGGGACCAGGAATTTGTTTGGGGGGACGTGTCCCCCAGGTCTGCCCCCCGTGGCTATACCACTGTTCGGACTATCCTCAATATATGTAGTCATTATCTGTTGCTGATATTTTAACATATAAGCAGCGTAAGTTTGTCCCACTCTCTCTCAAATCAAATCACTTTCTTTCAAAACCTGTCCTTTAAAAAATTGGGGAGGGGCGGTGACAGGTTCCCCCTTCTCCAAACTGGAAGTGTCGTTGGTTCTCATTGTGCGGACCTTACGTACCAAGTTTGAATTACCCTTGAACGAAAGAGACCCACATAATGCAGGCAGGCATGGCAGGTCCACACAAGGTTGCACCCCTCTTTCTGGGAAACAATTTCAGAGACGTATTCAGAGTTATCCCCAGCAAAAGTGACAGGACAGTCAAAGGAACCATCAACAAAACTCTAGCCTAAAATTGTGTTCCAATTGCTAGAAATGAGAGAAATCCACATAATGCAAGTTTTGGGAAGCTTTTATAGTTGAAACAGAGTTAACCCCTTTCTAAACCCTCAGGTTTAGAGGTATTTTGGGGTGAAGGTTAACCAAAACAAAAAGAGGACCAGTCAAAGGAAACTATCAACTAAAATCCAGCTTAAAACAGTTTTCACATCGCAAGAGAAAAAAGTTTTCCACCACTTACTTACTTAATCCTCTTCATCCCCGATCGGACATAAAGCCAAAATGATCTCTCTCCACTTGGCTCTGTCCTTGGCGATGTACAGTGCCTCTCCCCATGTGAGATCCATTTCTTCCACTTCTACATGCCTCACTGCAGTATTTACAATTGCAGTCTTCCTTTTCCGTCTTCATATTCAAGCAGAGTTGTCCCGGTGCGTCCCCCTGCGCCCGCCGGCCCGGGCCATCCTGTCCTGCAGCACCAGCGACGAGGAGGAGACGTGCTCGCTGCGCTGCGAGTCCAACTCCCACTTCACCTCGTCCGGCCGGCGCGCCTACACCTACCGGTGCGGTGACAGCACGGAGTACCGGTGGACCAACGGTGTCAACGCAACCGAGCTCCCCTTGCTGGAGGCGGATGAAGCACTCCCCAGCTGCTCTGGTGAGAACCATCAAATCTTTGCTCCTCCCGAAAGCTGAGGAAATATTGACAACAATAATTAACTATCGTTTAATTTCTGGTAATGACTCCAAGGATTCCTCAACTGAGCGCCCTAGGCACTGTAGCTACCAAGCCTGAAAAAAAGAGACAGTGAGTTGCAGTTACAGCTCTAGAGGTGGGAGGAAATCTCCCAGAGGAACATTCTGGGGAAAACTCACAGGATCAGGTGGGGAGTGAAACCCCAATCCACATGTAGAAAGAGCAGGGAATCGATCTTTTAATCAAACCATCTCAGCTCCTTGGGGGAGTATACAGCTTGATCCTGACATTTCGGGTGCAAACAGTTAATCAGACACAACAACCATCTCTACCCTCGTAGGTACCGGGGGGGGAGACAGGCTAGTGGGGCAGGTAGCATGCCCAAGGTCGTAGCACGTAAGCCAGCATGTCAAGGGTTTGCATGGCTTTCACCTTGCAGGCCAGTGCTCTTGGTCCCACAGGCTGGATTTGAACATCCGATGCTCTGGAATTAGAAGTTTAGCAGTGTTAACACGTCATCAGATGCACCATACTGTCAGATATTGCTATATTTGACAGATACCAAAATTGTGTATCGTCATTAGACTTTGTGCCCAAGATTGGCTGTCCATGGTGCGGCAACCATATCAGTGTGTCACTATATATGTGTTGCAATAAAGTTAGGTAGATATACTGTCAAAAAAAGTTGGCCAAACAGTGTTGGGCATTTGCCCAACCTTGGTTAAAGTTACCACATTTTTGGTTAATTTTCATCACTGTTGTCAAAACATCACTGGCAAACATTGACCACCGATTGGGAAGAATTTGCCAGGTTGGGAAGTTGATATGTACACCAACGTCAGGCAAAATATCAATCCAAAATTGACCAACCTTTTTACAGTGTAGTCCCAGAAATTGAGGGGCCATTTTTTCTACATCCCTGTCACATCCGACATGTGATTTTGTAAGTTCAGAACACATTTTCTAATTTCCAAGAATGTTGAATTGATGCAAATTACCTGCCAAACAAATAGTAATAGTTTGAAATGAACAAATCCATTCCGGTGATATTTGCATGTCAAGTAACAAAGGTCAGATGTAACAGGGACATGAAAGTGTCACCTTTTGGACCCCTAGTTTCTGGCATTACCCATATATGTACCATAATAATGGATCTTCTATTTGGGGTGGTTTCCAGTCAAGGCCTCACAAATTCAATCTCATACTTCCATCACATTGGATGAAACAATGGACCTTTCCCATGAAATATGCAAATTGGACATGCGCATGTGCGCTACTACCTCTGGTTGGCTAGCGCGGCCGACAACGCTGTCGGTAGCATAGGCGCGCTGCTAGTAACCATAACCTTGACTGTTGACGGTCAATCAAAACCATATTACAGCCTTTGCCCGATACTTGAGCACAGTTTTCTGGAAACTAAGTGAATTTTCCGTGTCCTGAGGTTGGAAAATAACAATTCCTTGTCTTTAAGTTTGGCACTCATGTCCAACTATACTAGTACAGAAACGGCGATAGTGATGCGCATGGAGATTTGTATTGTTACGTCCTAGATATAGGCAATTAACTTTGTCAACCAGTGGTGGTAATGCGCATGTGCCTGCCTTATTTGCATATTTTATGGGAAAGTTCCATTACACACTTCTGGCTCGCTGGCCTGATGAGTCCTCGGGTATTCAAGTCTCCATGCACCTGATCTGGTCTTAAACCAACGTTAAAGACGGGCAAGCGCATATTTGTTCTCAGTTGATATTCCCGAAATGATCATTTTCTTTCCTTCCGTACGCAGCCTCCGTCAACGCTCCGACGTACCACCACAAGGCTCGCTTCACCTTCACGGCCGAAGACTGCGAGCTGCGCCGCTTCACGCGCTCCGAATCCGTGGTGTCGGATTTCCTAAGTAAGAAGTTATCAGGTACAACCACAGGCTGCATTGCAACTTGCTCGTATTTATTTTCTCTCCCTGTTCCTCTCCTCGGGCTCACTAACCCAAGCCTCGTTAACCCTGCATGCCCCCCTAACTATACATGCCAAGTTTCATGGGAGCCTTTCCACTTCCTGAGTTTTTAAAGGCTGGATAATTGGAACGTTGTGTTTTCTGGAAGAAAAACAACAATCCGATAAAGTCTCGCACGCGGTACACCAGCTGAGAAGGTTGCTTGGAGTTTGCAATCCGCCCCGAGCTGAAGGGCACCCCCAATTGGCGAAAGGAAGACAGGTGGTTATAAGCGGGTTCTTGCACGCGTTCTGCACACGTGTACGCAAAGACCATACATGCTGGAATTAATTAGTTACGCGTGCTCCGCGTCCAACGTGCATCATACATGCGCGCCTCATGGCGTGCCTATGCGGCGAGTACCAAAAAAAAAAACGCCCTCTTTGGTTCCGCTCGGAGCGGATACATGTATTAAGTGAGAAATCATTGCTGCACTGGTTACAGTGACTCATGACTCGATACGAATGCCCAATGGCTGTTTCATTTAAATACATGTACAGTCGTTGCATTATATTTACACACGGCTTTGTCCAGTTGCGTGATATTGACATCACTGAAAACAGCTGTTGGGATAAGTGTTATCAGTCTGTTCCCAGACCAAACGATCCTGGCTGTGTTTACCAGTGAACGAATATAGCCCGAGATGACAAGGTGTTCGCATTGCGCGGGCACTTTCTGTTCTGCTTCCGACTTTCCAACGCTGGCATGCAAATATGACCCTGCAATTGGAAAGTTCTGTGATGCAGAAGCCGTGTCTTATTAGTACTGGCTATGGCTATGCAAAAGCACACAAGTCCCGGCTTGCAGACGGCAGCTTTTCACAGGGGATTGCGCATCGGAATCGTGCGGCCAAAATCCCGACTGTTGTTATCTCGAACAGGTTGAAAACTACTCAAGCGGGGTACCTTTAAGCTGAAAAGAGCTGGACTTTTTTGGGCCATCTCGCAGCCACGGGCACAACACCCAAGATTTTGATCAACTCTTTAAAACATTCTGCCTCCATTCGTGGTTCGAACCGATTCAAAGAACTGTGCTACTACATCCTCCTCTCATCACAGCTGATAGAGCTCACACTCAAGGCTAAATCTTCTAAATGGTCAGACGATCCTGTGCCTAGACAATGTTTCGATCAGTTTTGTTCTAATCATCTTCCAGAGAAGTGTTTACCCCCATTGTGGTTCTGCTAATGTTTCTTAACCTAGGTTAACATCCAGCTGTCTCCATTCAATGGTCAAAGTGCACAGGATTGTTTAGCTTGTGTCCATGAGCAAGACAGTTTACCTTAATTTGTTTCTCACATCAAGGGTCCTGCACTTCCCTTTGTAAATGCACCTGTCCCTATAACACCACATTCCTTTTTGATATATGTCTCAACAGCAGACCAGAGCAAAGTATCTGCTGCTAAATTGAAAATGTTGTACCTTTCCCAAAACAGCATTCTCCTAAAAAAATTCACTAAGTATCTCAGAATGAAAAGGAGGAAGCAATTTTACTTTTATAAAGTTTATTTTTGATTTGTACTGTTTCAAACTGCTGCACATATTCCCCAAAGTGTTGATGAATGAAACTAAGCTAATTTCTTACGTACTTGGATTTGAGTAGAAGTTTTAAACTTGCTGTTCTTGAAGCTGATTTCGAAACAGTATGTGGACTCCTGCCTGCATGTGCACATTAATGTCGTGATATGCATTGCATGGCAAAAAAACATCATAGCTTACTCTCTGCTTTCAAATATCTATTCTGGCATGCATTGAGAAAAAAGGAAAAAGTGATAAAAATGCCTCTAGTATTAAAGAAGTTATTATTTATTATTATTGATTATGACATATTTTTGAGGCAACAAAGTGAGCTCTGTGAGCTCTCTCTGGTGATAGGCCCGTCTTGGCCGTTTGCCAACAGGTCAGATTGTCTTTTACAAAGACAAGACATGTGTATAGTGGTATGGGTTTTTCCAACTGATCTCGGGTTTGAGTTCAGTCCAGCTCCTGGGCTCGCAGTGCGCGTGTGTCCCTGAGCAAGATGGTTTACCCTGAATTGCACAGGGAGTAATGAGCAGCAGCATTGAGCTGTGTGCATGCACCCAGGGGGCCAAGGCGACCCCAGGGGGCCAAGGCGACCCCAGGGGGCCAAGG